TTTGCTGGGCACGTGTTCCCCCTCCTCGACACGCCTGCCGCCGTCTCCCCTCCCTCTCCTCCTCCCACTCCCCTCATCTGACCAAAGCTCCTCTTATCTCTCTCTAGCCCCCTTTCCCTCCCCGTCTGCCCATCTACTGCTGCTTCTTCAATCGAGTCCCCGCGATCGCAACACTCGCGTTAATTTGATCCCCGCTTAGTTCCTGAGCGCTCAAGGGATCAGATAACCAGGAAGATGGACGTGCAATACCATGAGGTGAGCAGAAGCAACTCCATCTGCACATGCATGCCGACATGCTTGATCTCTCGGTTGCAAGCACGCACGGCCAGCGACGGTGCATGCGCGAGTGGTTGGATCTTGATCATGTTCATCATGATGCGTTTGATGGTTTCTCGGCTGATCCTGCAGGAATACGTGAGGAATCCGAGGGGGGTGCAGCTCTTCACATGCGGCTGGCTGCCCGCTTCTTCCTCGCCCAAGGCGCTCGTCTTCCTTTGCCATGGTACGTACTGCTCGTTTGCTTAATTTGCGAATCGACCGCTGCCGAAGCTTTGCGCATTTCTAACTTCAACAGTAGCTATGCCTAATTCTGGTGGCTTCATCAATCATATCATACCACATTGACTCTCTCCTCTCTTTTTTCTTGTATGTGCGTTCATTTGCTTCAGGGTATGGCATGGAATGCAGCGTCTTCATGAGAGATACTAATGCTGCTTAATCTTCGTGCTTCTTGCTACCAATCTCGTTTATTTCCTCTATTGTTTTTAGAGACAGTTTCAGAGAAAATTCAGAAACATGATGAGGGGTATGGAATTGGAAGCCCTTCTAATACAAGAGATAATGTTTCACGAATTATTTTCGGTGTGCGGTCGTATCTTTATGGGCCTATATATATTGAATTCATGTATCTTTGTTCTTACATCATCCATGACTTCACATGCATGCACTGCGGATCTAGGCTTCATATATGTTAGCGCCATTGATCCTTCTAGAATCTAGATGCATGCGTCAGCCTCAGCCTGGTTGTTAATAGGAGCATGGGAGTAGCATGGGAGGCTACGAGCCTTCTTATTTCCTTTTTGGTGATGCCAGGAGCATTCTCTGGCCTAATTTGATCATGTCCTCCAGTAAGATTTAACAGCTACTCCCTCCGTGAAGAAATATAAGAGCGTTTCGATCATTAAAGTACACCTTAACAGAGAAAGATCCCTGTGAGTCGCATAGTATCACAAGTTCTTTCGACGCATCAAGCGTTGCTGATCGTAAAAGAATTTTAAATATTTCTCTCTATATAAATGGATCGAAATGGAAGCTTTGTGTTTTCTCCAAAAACATCACATTGCATTGCAGTCTAGGGAAAGATGGTAGAGGAGAATTTTATGTAAGCAAATTAGCGGCCAGAGACCATTAATTGCCGTGTACTTTAAGGAATAGGTTGCAGATGCTGATAGGGAACTACAACTACTGGCTGGTGATAGATACCGTGACTTCATGAATTGGACAGCTTTCAGCAGCAGATGCTGCTATATATACTGACAATGGTCTTATTCGATCCAGTATATCCGTAATTTCAGAACTAATTGTCGAGGGTACATGCCTGAAAATCGTCTTGAAAACGTTGCTACTACAGAAAAGGAGTTGACATATGGAAGAAGTATTTTGCTCATTGTAGGGTAGTCTCGGATTCAGATCAATTACTTACCACCCACAAAGAACCGCATCACCATCTATTCTTTCTCTCATTTGATCTTTTCACAGAGAGATAGTTAAACACAATATAGGTGGCAGTTAATAACACTCTTCTCACTTGTATTGGTGGGATCCTTTTGTTCGGCTGCGAGTGAGAGCTGCTTTTGATAAAGAGAGAAGACGATGATGGCAACACCCTCCTAAAGGTTCCACCACGCGACATATTCGTTTGATAATTCCAGCATAAAAGGTGATTGCAACCTTATATTCGTGAGTGATATTGGTGAGCTGCAGCCAAGATTGTTGGTTGCCGTAGAAGGTTAACTAACCAGCCCACTTTTGGTAGCGTTTCGCTTGGAGAGTTTGATTCAAACAAACCAAAGGTCAGTGGTTGGGTCTATGGTTGTGCGGCCTATCCACCCGGTTTGATTTCAATGAACCAATTGACCCACACATGGTTTTTATTCCTTATTTATATGCCACGTTAGCGAATGAGTGTGTGCACTTCTTTGCCCACAAGACTAAAATACCGATACTCACAATTAAACTCTAGTTGGTGCAGAGGTCGGGAAAATTCTCCGCCAATTGTTTTGCAAACCGAGCAACGCGTGCAGTTGTGCGCCTTGCCCACCCAGCTTTTCTGCCAAAGATTGACTCGTTGTGCATAGTGTGTTTGCCTCTATGTGTCGCCTCTTCCCATTCGTGTAGTGAAGGAGTTTTTCTCCTATTAATTTCCCCTGTTTTGATAGGGAGGGAAGATGATGGCAGCACAATTTGCAAGTTCCATCACGTGATATGTTCATTTGATAATTCCGACATAAAAGGCGATGTAACCTTTACATTCGAAGTGATAGTGGCGTGCCGCACATAGATTGTTTGTTGCGTCGGAAGGTTAACTGGCCCTCCTCAACAACATTTGGCATAGAGGGTTTACTTTGTCAGTCAGCAGAATGAAGGCGATGCAGAGCAACAGAAGGCACTCCCATTATGGCAGAAGAAAGCGGCGTTTAAAGGCAAAACACCATATGAAAACGAGGTCCCACATGGCACCCGGCCCAGCCCCGATTCAATGAGAGAGCTCCCTAGAGCTTCATTTTTATGGAGCTTAGTATCTTTTAAGATAGTGCCCGAAAGCAATAATAGAGTGGTGATCGTCAGTCAGCACTCAGCAGGAGATGTTGTATGTTCCATTTATTCAGAAATCCATCTTTTGGAAACCCGTTCTACTCAGGGTACATGGGTATCCAAAATTAGTTTGACTTTACAAACGAAGAAACAGTAGGAAGGTCATCATATTTGGATTGGATATGGACGAGTGTGCGTGTTGGCCCATCTTTCATGCACCTTGTCACTAAAAAATGGTGTGACAGGTGTGTTGGATACAGTTTGCATACATCACAAATACTTGGTCAGAAGTCAGAAACCTATTATGCTCCCATCGATCCCATGCTCAGAAGGAAGGAAATTGCAGTTTTGACCAGCAGCTACGATCCAAGTGACGAACCATTGCTTGTGAGTTGTGACTCTGACCACTTGGATAAACAGGCATTTTGTTTATGGTTGCAGACGTGGTCCTTTCTCTCTTCCATTTCCATCTGTCAATTTCATCTATATCACTATCGTCGTGATCGTAGGCAACAGTATTTCATCCTGTATATATATGATGACGCAGCTAACCCCCGTTGTCTCGCGAGCTGTAACTGATTGTAATTGGGTACGGAGTTGTAAGTGATTGTTACTGTTTCCTGACAGCGTGCGGGTTCAAGTTGGCCGCGGCGGGGTACGGCGTGTTCGGCATCGACTACGAAGGCCACGGCAAGTCCATGGGCGCCAGATGCTACATCCAGAAGTTCGACCGCCTCGTCGCCGACTGCGACCGCTTCTTCAAGTCCATCTGCGGTAGAAATCACCTTACAATTCTGCTTGGTTTCCATACGAACATGTCTGCAGTTTGGTCGATCATCAAACGGACGACTGAACCAGACGCTGCATTCTGTCTCCGTGCGCAGACATGGAGGAGTACCGGAGCAAGAGCCGGTTCCTGTACGGCGAGTCCATGGGCGGCGCCGTCGCCCTGCTGCTGCACAGGAGGGACCCGGCCTTCTGGGACGGCGCCGTCCTCGTGGCGCCCATGTGCAAGGTGCTGCCATCAACTTCTCCTGCCATGTTGATGAACTTCTACTGCAATGCCTGCCTCTGCCTGCTAGCTCATCTGTAGGTTGTTGTTTTGATGGCATGGTGGTGGTGCAGATATCGGAGAAGGTGAAGCCGCATCCGGTGGTGGTGACCCTGCTGACGCAGGTGGAGGAGCTCATCCCGACCTGGAAGATCGTGCCCACCAAGGACGTGATCGACTCCGCCTTCAAGGACCCCCTCAAGCGCGAGCACATCAGGAGGAACAAGCTCATCTACCAGGACAAGCCGCGGCTCAAGACGGCGCTGGAGCTGCTCAGGACCAGCATGGACGTCGAGGACAGCCTCGCCGAGGTGAGCATGCCCTTCTTCATCCTGCACGGCGAGGCCGACACCGTCACCGACCCGGAGGTCAGCCGCGCGCTCTACGACCGGGCCGCCAGCGCCGACAAGACCATCAAGCTCTACCCCGGGATGTGGCACGGCCTCACCGCCGGCGAGCCCGACGACAATGTGGAGCTGGTCTTTGCCGACATCGTCGCCTGGCTCAACAAGCGCAGCCATCATCGCAAACCTGAACACGGCGGCCGGGTAGGAAGTGCCCCGTCGGAGCCTGCAAGGTAACGGCGGCCGGTTTCCGGCGGCAGCGGCATGGACAGCCCGGTGTCGATACCTCGGCGGCGAGGTGGCTTCCTCTGCGGGCAATGTAGAATGTAAACATGGAACTGTTTGTGCAAGGAAAAGAGAAGCAGCAGATGAAAGCATGTAAATACTGTGCTGCACCAATGCTCAGTAAACTGAATAAAGTTTTGCTCCACTCTGAAGTTTCTTGTGTTCTAGACAGAGATTGGCTTCCTGAAGCATCTGGGAAGATCCACATTCTGAAACAACATGTAATTTATACCATATAATGCTATCTTCTCAACAAAGAATTAGAAGATCCAGATTTGATTTATATATATCCAACAATCCAACTGGGATATCTGTCCGTATAGCTGAGACTGGCGGAGAAGGCGACAGACAAAAATGAATAACATTACATCAACAACCAAGGTATTTAGCAGTAAAACTCTCGACGACGACTACGTGGCCATAGCTCTGTCAGTGGGGGGATTAACCAAGAAGCAAGCTAGAAGCAGGCCACCAAAATTTCAAAGTATAGTACTCCGGTCTACTCTTTACTGGCCTTCGGTGGCGGTGGTGGCGCTATCTTGGTCGCCGAAGATCCGCTTGCGGAAGTCAGTGACCATGAGGGGAAGACCGTCACGGAGGGCGATCTTCGGCTCCCACCCGAGCTGCTCCTTGGCCTTGGTGATGTCTGGCTTGCGCTTGTGCGGGTCGTCCTGGGTGTTCTCACGGAACTCGATCCGTGCATTCGGGTCGATGGTGTCCTGGACAACCTTGGCCAGCTCCAGCATGGTGAACTCACCAGGGTTACCCAAGTTGAATGGCCCTATGTGGTCACCTTCCATCAGCCTCATCAACCCCTCAACCTGGAAGACGGCTATTTTAGAAAGCGCATTCCAGATAGCATTGCCATAATTATTGTTCACTCATGGTTAGAGATGACCTACCAAATCAGAAACGTATTGGAAACTCCTGGTCTGCTTGCCATCGCCGTAAACCGTCAAAGGCTCCTTCCTTAGCGCCTGCCACCATGTTACAGCATTTGGATGTTACTTGTGAGAATAAAAGGAAGCTTACAGTTTTAAAACTAGCAGAGCACAGCAGTGTATGTATGTTTACCTGAGCAACAAAGTTGCTGACAACACGGCCATCGTCAATGCACATGCGTGGGCCATAGGTGTTGAAGATCCGAGCAATCCTAACCTGAATAGTGAATACAACAAAATACACCAATCACTACACATACAGACCTATTTTCTTAGGGATGGAATGGAAATTTCAGTGCTTGCAACAATATATTAGTATAGCACAAACGACAAATACCTCAAGGTTGGCACCACGGTGGTAGTCCATGGTCAAGGTTTCAGCTGTACGCTTGCCCTCATCGTAGCAACTCCTGACACCTGTTGTCCAGAGAAACATACATACATACACATCAGTGGAGAATGAGTAATACGTTCTATATGTAACGAATTCAAACAGTACATGACAAATGCACTCATAGAAAATGGAGCGACGACTAGCTGTAGCTATCTAGCCCAACAAACTCCCCTCCTTTTATGCGCGTTCTCTTAATTGTTTTAAGTGTCTTGGTTGGTGGATGTTTGGTCAAGCGCAAGCATAGTTTTGCCCCACCTTCTTCCTTCACTAAGAAGGGATCAAGATCCACCATGTGGCACATTTCACCTACCAGAATTGTGCCTTTCCAGCAGAAAGAATCAAACCACGCAGGAGGCCACCCCCCATCTAGATTCCACGGGCGGCATCTCCAGCTAGTAAGATTCCAACACCCCTTTCCCCAAATTGAGTAAACGAGGATTTCTGGTTATAACAGTAGCCTTCAGCTCAAGAACATTTCTATTTTGAAAACCTCATCACTGCTCTCCTTGTGCTTCCTTCTTCTGTAATACTACTACTGGTAGTAGATATAACCCAACTGGCAATATGTTTTATTTTCTATTCTCAATCCACCCCCACAATCAAAATCACTCGAAACTACTTCCAAAACTACTCTGAGTAAAACTAGGACAACCCCAAATCCATGCTCAGCATACCTACCCCCAATATCATACGGAAGTGTGAAACGTAATGAACGTGAGTCCAGAAGACCAGAAACATCATTGGTTTGGTACCAATAGTCCCTACCACGCAAAGACTGGGCAACTTCTACTATGCATGATCCAACTTGGATCTACTTTTTCCCGCTAACCTCGTGTAACAATAAGCAAAATCATCATGATAGATCTGGTACAGTAATGAGACACCTAACACGATCACACTTAAGAATGAGCTGGAGGAATATGAGGATTGAGGAGAGTTCTTACCGATGGGGTTGACATTGCCCCAGTAGGTCTCCACCTGAGGGTGCTGGAGGGGATCACCGTAGACCTCACTGGTGCTGGTGAGGAGGAACCTGGCGCCGATCCGCTTGGCCAGTCCAAGCATGTTGAGCGTACCAACCACATTGGTCTTGTGCCATCTCGAAGGTCAAGGATCACACATAGCATTCCCAAAGGAACACGCAATATTGCATCATAATAACTTGGTTGTTGGACTAAAACCTCCAAAAGGTTGTTGCAAAAGCACGCAACAGGAAGGTCATGTGAAGTGAACAGTAAGCAAAGTTGCTTAGCGGAAAAAGGGACAGCCCCCACTTGGATCTCACGGTTTAGCTGTACTGTCTTTATGTCAGAGTTAAGCTAGCCCTACAGCTCAACCAGATCCAAGCACAATGCGAGTTTGCTTTTGCTTTTGCCTTTTTCTCTCCTCCAATTACTGGATCATGAAGTAAAATAAACTGGTCTAGAGATGCCACATCTAGAAAATCTGATGATAGAATCGACTTTTGCTATGCCTGTGTGCATCATGTGATGCAGAGGCCATGCTTGTTCCCTATCAAGATTGGCAGATTCTACTAACCCAACGTTTGATTGAACTAAACGCTAGGCGACGCATTCGCATGCTGCAAAACAGAGTAATTTTTGTGGTGGAAACGGTAACTTGGATCAAGCTCTGTATCGCGCAGAAAGCTCCAAAATTGACGCGAAACGTGGCGCAAATCCCGAGCTCCACGCACCCAGAAATCCCCCTTGCAATCGCAGATTCCCAATCCAGAAATGAGCACGGGATTTACCCAGATGTGCAGCAAGCGGCAGGGCTGCGCAAAAGAACAGGACCCTTGTACCGCAAATATCTCCCACCCAGTAAAATGCAAGGAAATAAAAATTAGCGATCGCGAGAAGGCAGGAAAAGTCAAAGCATCGAGATCCAAGCAGTTGAGCTTTGAATGAATTAGAAGAAGAAAGGATATGATTGTCTTGACGGGGTTGTACTTGTAGTGGACGGGGGATGCGGGGCAGGCGAGATGGTAGATCTGGTCGACCTCGAGGAGGATGGGCTCGACGACGTCGTGGCGGATCATCTCGAAGTTGGGGTTGCCGAAGTGGTGCATCACGTTCTCCTTGCGGCCCGTGAAGAGGTTGTCCACCACGATCACGCTGTCGCCGCGCGCCACCAGGCGGTCCACCAGGTGGCTGCCCACGAAGCCGGCGCCGCCGGTGACGAGGACGCGGAGCCCCTTGCGCTTGAGCCCGAGGGGCACCTTTCCGGCCACGAACTGGCGGCCGGGGTTGCGCGCGGCGGGGTCGACGGAGAAGCGGGTGAGCGCGCCGGAGACGGCGGCGGCGCGTCCGGAGGAGTAGGGCGTGGCGGCCGGGCCGGAGCCGGAGGGGGCAGCGAGGCAGAAGATGGCGGCGGCGACGAGCATGCCGACGAGGGCGAAGAGCGGGCGGTGCTCGGCCGCGGCGTAGCGGGCGGCGCGGGGCAGCCACGCGAGCGGCTTGGAGCAGGCGGGCTTCGCGGACGAGTACTCGCCGGCGGCCCCGGCGGCGCCCGCGGACGGGGACGCCGCCCCGCCGCGGTACGTGAGCTCGGACGCCATCTCCGGCGGGCCGAGGCAAGAAGGACCCGGTGGCGTGGCCGGAGAAGTGTAGGGCCCCCCGTGTAAGAGGAAGCGCGGGCAGGGACCTCGCCGCAGGTTTGTGTCGGTAAGGGCGCGGGGTGAGGTGCGTGTCAGAGGTGGGAGAGGGAGGTATTTATGCTGCGGCCTGGGTGGGAGGCGCCGCGTGGTCTGGTTCTCGTGGGACCCGACCCGTTGGACGCGATCGAGATCGACGGTGCGGTGCGGTGCGGTGCGGGGTTTGACTACGGGCAGGCCGGCGAGATTAGGTGGTGGTGCGGCGGCCGTGTGTGGCCTGATCGCCAGGGCCTCAGTCGGCGGCTAGCTGGCCTGGCCTGCCGACCGCTTCTACGAAATTAACCTGTGTTTTTTAAAGGTAGTAATAAAACCATTAGTTTCAAAAACCTTTGTATTACTCCCTCTGTCCCATAATATAAGAACGTTTTCGTCACTATAGTAATATTAAAAACGTTCTTATATTATGAGACGGAGGAAGTACTTTTTTCGTATGATGAAAACCACTATAGTACTTCATCCGTTTCTTTAGATATACAATATACAATAGGGTTTTTTAGATACTCAGAAATTACCACCATACCATGGTCTCATAGAGGGACTGTTTTTAATGTCATATAATTTACTGACATACTTGGGGCGTACCAAGTCTAAGTTTAGAACAAAGTTAATCATTTATCATTTTTAATTAGATGATAAATGTGCATTTACGTTGTTTCACATAGGATTTGCAATGTCTTGAATTATTGTCATATCTGGGGCGTATCGTACCTAAGTTTAGACCAAAATGAATCAGTTATCATCTTTAATTATATGATAAATATACATTTGTATTATTTCACATAGAGTTTGTGATGCCTTAATTTAATGCCATGTTTAGCGCGTATCGGACCTAAGTTTAGGCCAAATTAATTCATTATCAATTTTAGTAAGAGATTGATTGGGTGTTATTAAGCATGGAGCATTTATAGTAGGTGTTAACTGAGAAACAAAAAAACTCTAACCATATGAATGAGCTCAGGCGCATTGTCCTTTTTTTTGTGTTTGTCATGGTTAACCTCATGGCGAATCTCGAGATGAACAACCTTGGTTTGAAAAACCTCTAGAGCACTTCATCCGTTTCTAAATTTTGTAAGTGTGTTCTACAAGTATCTAGACTACGACATACAATCGCTTTACATAGGGTTTACTAGGAAACATGCCGGTGTGTTGCAATGGGAGAAAACATCCCTCACACTCCCTTACCCACTGAGCATGGCTAAAGACCTCATTCACATCCCCATAACATAATAAATATGACTAATACCTCATCCTCAGATCCACATCCTCCATTTCAATATAACACCAGACACATGTTTCCGCTTGTCGTCTTTGCCGTCCTCGTCATCGGTGGTCGCAGTACCAGTTGGCACTAACCAAGGTTGGCAAGGTCCATAGCTGGATTGTTGAGCCGCCTTCGTGTCCGATGAAGATCAAGAGCGTTGAACACAAATTTTTTATCATCTGGCTAATATAATAGGGAAAAGCACTGCACATAATATATGTTTGTGTCATCATGTAATTGAGTAGTTTGTGTCAGATAGACCATGAAACCTTAGTTGGACTCCTCATACATTTTGACGGGAGTCACTGGGCCAAGTAAGACTGGTTATATGTGAAGACGCGACGTAGAAAATGATTCCTTACATATCCCTAGTTTAATAAAATGAAGTAAAAGAAAGCATTATGTGGGCATATTTCAAAAATTCGCTAAGTTTTATTAATATAGGTATAGATTAAAACAATTTAGCTATAGTACCTCCAAGTTTAAAAAACATGTTTACAAAAATATTTATATTTTCAAATTTAAAGCTCAAAAAATATTTGTGTTTTTAAAATGTTTGCAAATTTGAGAAATAATCACAACAGTACCTCCTAGTTTTAAAAATACTCAGGTTTCAAAAAAAAATTGTTCTTTAAAAAAATGTTTGGCTTTAAATATTTTATTGACAACTTTGCAAAATTTTTGCATTCTAAAATGTATTCACTTTTATAAAAATATATTTTCCTCACGCGACTGTGTATTAATTTAAAATTTCATGGTGCTAATTAAACACCTAGTTTTGTTTAGTCTAGTGGTTAGCATTTGAGTGTTCTAGTGTGAGCGGCTGGGTTTGATTCCTTGCGCCGCAGTCTTTTTCCTTGAAAATTCTTTTACTGGCGCGGGCTGTTTTTACACTAATGGGCCGGCCCATTGTGGCTCTGTGCCTCCAGTAATTTTTTTGACAAAAACGAATAGGGAGAACGAGGAAACGCCTGCGACATACGAAGCCTGGGACGTACGAAAATTATGTGGGTCCCACCATGAACGAAAAAACCTGAAGAAACAATTCTCCCTTTAATATTATGTAAAGATGTGATTTTACTAGTGCATATTTTCCACGCCACACCATGGTTTCGGAGATGGTTTTTAATGTCTTAGCTTACTGTCATATTTAGCGAGTACCTGATCTAAGTTGAGATCAAAATGATCCATTTATCACCTTTAATTATTGATGGTGGAGATCTCTCGTTTGTTAAGATGATAAGGATTGCTAAGGCCCCTGTACTCAGACATTGGCTGCTCCCAAGACGCTAACGGTTGGATATTCCTCCCAAGTGATATTTTCAAGATTTACATGCCTATAAATCCAGCGTCCCTAAGCTCGAAAAGCACATACACTAGCAGGTTGTTCTCTATGGAGGGGTCGGTCACTGAACTCCTGGACTACATTTCTTGGGGACGATTGTTTTTAAAAACTAGATAATACCCTGCGCGTTGCTGCTAGAATTCAAGTCAAGAAAATCAGTAGGAAAAGATACAAAAATGTGAGACAACTGTACTAAGGTCCCTCACCTCACTCTGTGCATTTGAAAACTGAACCGAAAAACCATACCGAAAATAAACCGAACCGAACCAAATTTATGGTTTTTATGGTTTCTGGTTTCAGTATGGTATGAACTTTTCATACCGATTTGAACTTTGGTTTTTATGGTATATACTGAAAAACCAAATGGTTAACTTAATAAACCGAAGTAAAAAATAATTTTATATTTCTTGTGATGAACAACCATACAAGTTGTCATTTTTCTTGTACATGAGTCAAATTCACCACTATACACATAATTTTTTCTTGTAACATAGTCATTTTTCTCTTTTTAAAATGCTAAGCACGTCCATAACCATTAACAGATGAATCAATGCATGCATATATACTTTTATATACGGTTATATGCTATTTGTGTAAAACAGTATGTGTTTTGAGTCATAAATTTGCAAATTATTATTACGTCATTTTCAAATTCGTGTCAACTTTGGTTGGTATATACCGAAACCATACCGAAATAATTTGGTATATACCGAAACCGAACCGTATTTTAATTTCATTTCATATTTACTGATGTATTAATACCGTACAAACCAAAAAACCATATAAACCGAACCATGTAAACCGAATGCACATAGTGGCCTCACCAACTAGTTACTTGAATGTGTGTTTGTTTACTCCTTGGTTGTTGCCTACCTGTGTTTTGCTAGTCTGGTTACCATACTATAGATACATGTGTGTCTTATCCTTTTCCTCACCCCTCAATGTTGTAAGACCAATTAGCAACAGGAGTTTCTTTTTTTTCAAAAACTCAATGATAATTAGTTATGTCTTCAACAAACATTCAATAAGGATGATGACACAGGAAAATAGTAAGATTTCATTGATGATAAAGAGGACGTAAAATGCAACTATAATCGAAAACATGAACATAATATGATTGAATTAATTATGTCTGCAAGTAGAACTTGGCTTAAAAGCGAATTAGTACCATGTTGGTTTATGCATGCCTATGTCCAATAGCTTGGAGGGGACAATATTAGACTCAAGCACGAAGACCGAAAGAGCCTAACTTGGCATAAATTCCATAAAGCTCTGCATTGAAGGCTCCATACTGTATTAACTTCCTATGTATAAAACATCTTGAAAATGAGAAAGAAGGACATAATAGGTATGGTTACAGAAACCATGCTACCAAAATATAGTTTTTGTTTTGTAACATGATCAACAATAGTCTTTAAATCAGATTCAAAAGTAAAAAGCTGAAAAAATTCCATATGTAGAAATTCCATGGCGGAAATGTGATTATCCTTCATACATCATAAAGATTACATTGGTTCATCTCACTTGCAACTTGTTTGGATTTTCATCAAATACCTTGTCGACATGACAAAACAAATATCCGCATAATCAACATACTAATGCAGCCCAAAGATGTTGGTGCGGCTGCTCAAATCAAAACAAAACATAATAAGAAAGGTAAAAAAATAACCGATGTTGAAAAATCTAAAATCAATCTAAATGAAATGCAGCCGCATGAACCAGCCAACCAAATCTATATTAGATCGAGGAGAAAATTTTAGTGTGTGCCAGATGCTTGCATATGATGTAGACGACATCTAAATCTTATGAAGGGATTGTGTCCCCAAAGTTCAGAAATTGAAAGTGGAAGTCGAGTAATGATGCATTCATTTTGCATCATGTTTTTCTGCTGTTATTTATAATGTTTTAGAGATATATTCCACTTTATGGTGCAATTCTAATGTCTTTTCTCTCTTAAAATGCAAGATACACCGAAAGAGGGAGATTGCCGGCAGATGGAATTCTAAGGCTAAAAAAGCTACAACACAGATAGCTATCCTCCGGAGCTCCAAATGACCTAAATAATTACGGAGAATTATTTTGGAATATATAAAAAATACTAGAAGAAAGAAGTACCGGAGAGGAGCCTCGATGGGATCACAATGCAGGGGGCGCCCTTGTGTCTTGTGGGCCCCATGGAGGTCCACCAACACCAATCTACTACTACATGAAGCCATTTGCCCTAGAAAAAATAAGAGAAGACTTTTGGGACGAAGCGCCGCTATGTCGAGGTGGAACCTGGGCAGGAGGACTTTTGCT